TTTTTTAATTCCCTTTTAAATTTAGTGGGGGTGGAAGCGCGTTATCTTTTGGCGGCCCCCGACTCCAGGTACCCAAAATTGTCTCCGACTCCGACTCCTCGACTCCGACTCCACAGCCCTGATAAGAACATAAGAATATAAGAATATTCTGTAATAAAGTTTATATTGACTTTTGGTAGCTAGCCTCCCTGTTCAGCAAATTCTGTTCGTAGCAGTGTCGTCGCCAGTCAGTGAAATGTATCATGGGGAACTCTGCAAAATTTATTGTGGGAGAATTTAATCATGTTACTTTTTATGTTAATGTGGGGAGAATGTGTAAGAAAGGCTTGTAGTAATGTTTTCTTTAAGCTGCTGTGTTTTCATTCAGTGACATTTGTCACGTGGAGTGATCCATGGTTGCCGGAGAAATAGCATTACCATGCACTCAGACCACAATGTTTGCTCTTCTAATTGGTGGGGAAAGATTGTGCAAATTTTCTTATAAACAAAATATGAAGTAAATGAATAAGTATACTTCCAGACCAATGTATCACAACAAGCATCCAGAGCATTCTGGTAAAAACACATATTAACTTTCATATTTCCAGGCCATCCATCCAGTACTTCTAGAAATTAAGCTAGTTGGTGAATGTGGGATGAGTACAGATTATAAGGCCAGACGAAGTGACAGGTCTGTCCAGGGAATGCAAATGCTTTCAATTCCGACAGCTCCAAATCTAATTACTATCATTGATGGAGTATTCCAGAAGTGGGTCTAGCATGCAATACTGAATTAGCATAAACCTGATCAGTTTTCATTCCTGAAAGTGTGATTAGACTGAGCATTACCCAATTACTGTACCGACAAATACTGTGAACCAAACCTACTCAAGCATGTTTAGCTGACAGAAATTAGAGTTGGTGGAGTTGTAGCTGCATCTGCATTGTTCGGCAGTTTCATTTGTTATGCCATTTCTTCATGACACGGTCAGCACAGAAGCGGAAGTTTAACTTGCTGAAAATGGATATTTAAATCATCTCATTTCATACATCACACACCGTGGATTTACACTCATCTTTACAAACTTTATGTATTGCCCTCTGCTTCGTCTTACTGCAAGATTCTATATTTTTGTAAACAAATGAAGTAATGACTTTGTTATAATGCCAACACATTTGCAATATTTTAACTGAATTAAGCAAGCGTCCCAAAACTTTTTGTGAGCACTGTATAATATAGATGATGGTGAACACAATGGCAAAGCAATGGCACGTTGAGCTATCTGCTTAGCACTCAAAAGGCTATTGCATATTTTTGTAATTTTTCCCACACATAAACCTGATAGAATAATTAATAGATAGTTTCACCAAATTGCAAGTTTGCCGTTTATTTCAGAAATGTTGAA